TTTTTTTTTTTTTTTTTTTTTTTGGCTTCTGGCTTCTGATTCCCTTGAGCTCTTATCACGCATGTATTATTCGGACTTAATGATAAACCACTAGGTATGGTGATTTCACTCATGCCTATTCTTGTTTCTCAATGAAGCTGTGAGCAGAGCAAGGTATAGGAAGGAAAGGAATTTGTGTGGAAACCCTACTGTGCACTGGTGCCTGCACACTGTCTGCTCCACTGAGGGCTCCAGGAGCTCAAAGACTGTGTGCCTTGCTCGGTGCCGAATCCTCAATGCCCCTACGGTGTGTGACACATAGTAGGTACTCAATAAATGTGTGAAGAATGGATGTGAAATCGTTTACCATGGCTGGTACCCAGACACTTAGTAGGTCTAACAGAAATATTCAATGGAAATCCTTTTTCTTTTCCTTCTAAGGCCATCCTCTGTTTTTTTCTTTTCCTTGCAGTTCTTAGGGTCTAGAGTGGGTTGAATGATGGCCCACCCTCCAAAGATAAGCCCCTGTCCCAAGTCCTGGCACCTGTGAATAGGACCTAATTTGGCCAAGGGTCTTCGCAGAGGTACTAAAGGATCCTGAGGTGACATCATTGTGGATTACCTGGGTGGGCCCTAAATCCAAGGACAAGTGTCCTTCCAAGAGACAGAAGGAAGAAGACAGACACGGAGGGAAGGCCATGTGAAGATGGAGGCAGAGATTGGAGGGCTGCTGCCACAAGCCAAGGAGCTCCTTGGGCCTCCAGGAGCTGGGTGAACTGAGAAGGATTCACCCCTGCACCTTTACAGGAATCAGAGCCCTGCCAACACCTTAATTTCACACTTCTGTCTCCACAATTGTGAGGGAGCAAATTTCTGTTGTTTTAAGCCACCTGGTTTATGGCAATTTGTTAGGACAGCAGTAGGAAACCAATCCAGGGTCTACCAGGCATTTGAAGTTCTTGCCAGGGAGCTGCTGATCCCAATTCACCAACTAGGTCACCCCCTAGTGACCTGAAAACAACAAATCAGACCCACCTTGGCACTCTGTCCCTAAAGGCTAAGAGTGAAATGGAGATTTACATGATTCGTTTATCCCATCTTTCCACCAAACAGGGAAGGAAACAGCTACTAGAGCTTCCCTGAGGCAAACATAGATCATATTTCTTCACTGCTTCAAACCACCTGGCAGCTTCCCATCACACTCAGAAGAAAACCCCAATTCGTTACTGTGGCCTGAGACTCTTCCAGACCGGCCCTCCCTGCCAACCCACTTCCCGTGTTTCTTTGACCTCATCTCTTCCCTCCCCTTGCTCCCCTGGCTACACTGGCTTCTTCTTTGTTTCCCAAGGGCTCCAAGCTCATCCCTGCCCCAGGACCTTTGCACTTGCTCTTGCCTCTGCCTGAACTCCCTCTCCGAGACTTCACTTTGCTGGCTTGTCCCATTATTCAGATCTCAACTTAGAGGCCACCTCCTCAACAAGGCCTGGCCAACCTCCCCATCACAAGGAGCCCCCTGTTTACTTGCTATCACACCAATGTATGTTTCTTCTTAGCATTTCTGTCCTTCTGAAACAGTCTTCTTTACAAGTTCACTTGTTTATGACCTGCCTTTGCTTCTGGACTGAGAGTTCTGGGTGATCCAGGGCACTGTCCCCCCTACCCCCAGGAATATATAGATGATGCTCTATAACATTTCGCTGAATGACTGAAGGAAACAGAGCAAAGCCTGCCCTTTCGAGCCCAGTGCTGAGGCAGTTTTATATGGGACGCCCACCTGGAGCCAGCTGTGTTCCCTGAGGCTCTTGGCAGAGGTCAGCCCAGTGGATAGAGGAAAGAACCGGCTTTTTGTCTCAACAGGAATCGTCAGGCCTTGAACTACGTGAACATCTGTTGTCAAGGTCACATCCCTCCCGAGAAGTCCCCAAGGGTCCCATCTGTAACTGGTGGCAATTATAGGGTTTCTACCAGGTGTGAAGTCTCCCTCTGGAGGGGATGGAGGAGGTGAGCTTTCCAAGGCCGCCCTCCACCAGCTGGTGTGAACTCGCCAGAACCTGCAGAGGGAGCGGGTCACGGCCTCAGGGTCCAGCAGAGCCCCGGGCCCCACTGGCGTTGGGGTGCATCCTTCCAGCCTCCTTCAGGTTATCCATCAAATGTCACATATCTGATTCCACTTATATGTGGAATCTAGAAAAATGGTACAGATGAACCTATTTGGAGGGCAGAAATAGACACGCAGATGTAGAGAATGGACGGGTGGACACAGAGGGGGGGAAAGGGAGGGTGGATGTATTGGGAGGTTAGGGTTTACATATATATGCTACCATGTGTAAAAGAGATAGCTAGAGGGAACCTGCTGCATAGCCCAGGGAGCTCAGCTCGGTGCTCTGTGATGATGTAGATGGGTGGGATGGGGGTGGGGTGGGAGGGAGGTCCAAGAGGGAGGGGATATACGAATACGTAGAGCTGATTCCCTTTGTTGTACAGCAGAAACTAACACAATGTTGTAAAGCAATTATACTCCAATAAAAAAAAATGTCACATATCTGAGAGGCCTTCCCTGGCCTCACACTGAAACTGCCGCCCCTCCTTCCAGCACCCCTACACCCCCTCCCTGCTTCACTTGCTCCCCAGCACTTACTGCCCTCGGACAGTTCTCTTCTTTGCATGTTGCCCACTGATCCCACCGGACAGCTCCACGGGGGCAGAGATCTAGGCTTACTTTGTTCACTGTTGTCCTCCCAAGCCCAGAACACTGCCTGGCACATAGCGACTGCTCAACAAATATCTGCTAAATTAACAACAAAAAATTATCTCACTCTTTGCGTCTCCATATAATTCAGGAGCCCACGCTGGTTTGTGTCCATGATATGCACGCGTGTGTGTGTGTGTCTGTGTCGTGTGCAGTGGATTTAAAAAATTTGACTTTAAAAAGCACCAAACAGATGATGTGCACTCTACTGTGCCACACTCCCCAGCCCTGCCTATAGTCTTACACCAACTTTGCCCATTCGCATTACCTGCCTGGTCCCTGAAAGCCCTGGTTTGGCAACTCTTAATATAACTTAGCTGTTGAGACAGCTCCGACTTGTCCCTGGGGTAGAGGGCAGTGTTCCACGTCAATAACAATCATTACCATTAATGTGGTGACTGTCACTGGCTGAATGTTTGCTGTATGCACTGTGCTGGGCACACAATGTGCATCGTGTTACTTAATCCTCCCAACAAACCATTTAACAGAAAAGGGAACTGAGCACAGGAGTTAAATGACTGGTCACAGCCACAGAGCTGGGGAAGTGGGATGTGAGGACTCCAACCCAAGCTTGTCTGAGCGCAGAGGTGGGTGCTGGGTGTCACGTTCAGGAAACGTCCAGTTCATAGCACGTAGGAGGTGGTGATAATGAACTCAGGAAGGGCACAGAGGTCCCCACACACTTGGTCAACTCTCGGCTTCCATGAGGCTCAGAATCGTCCCCTGGACTGTCTATCAGGTCCCCTCATCATCCCAGAGGTGACTTTAGCTGGCACAACAGCAGTGAGATTGGCACAGGGTCACATCGCCAAATGCCAGGGACCCCAGCGGTGGGAAAGTGATTCTCGTTCACTTTTTCTGATCAACTCCAGGAGAAAGTCTCGGGTGGCTGCGGTCACGTGGTCACGTCCTTAACACCCTCACGCCTCCTATTTCAACAGGAAGAGCCCCGGCCACCTGGCTGGAGCTCTGCGTGGGCAGCTGTGTTAGCTTATACTGGATTGCCTGGTTTAATTTCCTTTGACTTAGGGCAAGCGATGCTAGCTTCTCTCATTTAGGGCAGTGGAATCCTGTTCTTAAAAAACAATCACGTCTGTTTGAAAAAAGTAAATAGTAGTTCAGGTGGCAAGGTGGAAAGGTGAGGGGATGGCTGGCGTTTGGCACAATCTGCAACTGTCTACCCGGTGATGTTACTGGCTAAGAGACACCTCGGGTGTACCCTGAGCCCCGCC